TGCTCCTTTCGCCCGCCTCGGTCACCATCCTCGCTGCTCTCGGGGTGACCGATGAAAATCTTCCTCATGCTTTCTACTGAGTCTCCACTGAGCTCGGCCGGAGGCTGCACGGCTGCTTCCCTGCCCGAGGCCATTTGCAGGCAAGTCAGATCCGCCTGGCAGCCGGCATCGCCTTACCAGGGCGACGGCATGCCGCCGCCGCTGCTGCTGCGTATGGCCCTGCCCCAGTGAGCCCCATGCGGGAAATGCCATGTTCGCCGCACACTACCGGATACCAGAGGACAAGCCGCTCGGGAGCGTGCACACGTACCAATGGGAGCGAGCGGCACTTTCCCCTCCCCCCGCCTCCCTCCCTCCCTCTCGTGCCGCCTCCTCCCCCGCCATCCCTCGGGGACACGGGCTGGGAACACGCGAGATCCAACGAAGCGCACGAAAAACTCCCGGGTAGTGCTGGACGTGCAGGGAGAGAAGGGAGGCTGGGATTGGTACGTGCCTCCTCTTGTTGGGAACGACAGGCGTGAATCACCAAAAAAAGTCGAAACACGCCGGGGCTATCTCTTTCCGTTCACCTGGGTGGACCCGGTCTTTGTCTTGAAAAATATATTCCCGCGGGCCCCCACTCCCCTCCATCTTTTCCCAAGCTGGAGATCATGAAAACGTGGTGCCTGCCCGCCAGTGTGGAGCAGTAATGCTGGACTATAACAGCACAGACGTTTTAGGCAGTGAATACTTTTCATAATCCCCTCTTTAAGAAATGTGCTGGAACCAAGGGCAAGAATACGCATTCTCAGGAAGACCTTAGGAGATAATAGGAGCTCGGCATGCATGTTAACCTGATGGCTCCATTACAGTCCAGTTTATAAAGATAGATAAATTGCTGTTGGTGATGGCTAGTTTGAGAGATCCAGTTTAGTGTAGTGATTAAGGCACCTGGCTAGAAATGGGGAGACTGAGTTCGGGTCCGGCCTTAGGGTGAAACCAGTTGGGTGACCTTGGGCCAGTCATTCTCTCTCAGCCCAAGAAGGAGGCAATGGCAAACCACTTCTGAAAAACTTGCCAAGAAAACCGCAGGGACTTGTCCAGGCTGCCACCAGGAATCAAAACTGATTTGAAGGTGCAAGCGTACAGACACACACACACACACACACACACAACACTACCCAGTTTAGTTTGCACCCAGTACACTCCTGTCAATCCTTGTGTCTGGATCAGAGCAAGCACACAAGCCACTCAGTTCAGCTAGCAAAAAAAAAAAAAAAAAAATACAGCTTGGAGTTTATTTTTGAAATATCAGCAAACATTAAAAACTGTAAACTGGCAAAAACGGATTAAAGGCAGATGAGTTCCTTTATTAGATCTTTGAGATCTTAATACTAATTCTGGGTCTGGGTCTGACAGTGTGTTGGCGGTTCCTTCTGAATCTGTTGCTGTGTCAGATTTTTCAGACTCATTTTCAGGAACTCCTTCTGACTGCACCATTCTGAATTAACTTAGTTTGTCAAGTTCAACCTCAGAATTATTGCAGACTTCAGCAATCTATTCTTTTTCATGCAAGCTATCCTGGCTTGGGCTTCCTCTGGACATGTCACCTCCAAAACTTCTGGGAAATCCAGCTTTTCAGTGCAGCATGTTCCAGATGCTGTATTTTCCCCCATCTTCAAGCAAGACTTTTTTCGGTCCCATTTTATGCTAAGGCTGCTCAATTACGATGTTTTAAATCCTAATGAATATCCATGGTGTACAGTCTCTTAAGTGCTGATTCAGCTGTCTGCATGACCATGTGTTTGGAAGTAAATTGGGATGCTTTTGTGAATGGGAGGCTTTGGGGTGCTTGGGTGCTCAGAGCTTGGTTCTGGTTCCCTGGTGAGTCCATATTTATTTGCTAGCTCTAAGTATCTTTAGCTTTCACCTGGTATTCAGGGACAAAGAAGGGGCTGATACTGTACCTCAGAAAAGACAAAAGTAATTTTCTTTGTCTGATAATGTTCAGTGAAACCTACAAATGCCATCTTGAAACTGAGTCTCAACAGCAGACCTCACTCTTTTGTGCCATTTTGGGTTTTTTAAATAAGTATATTACCTTTTTGGTGTTTAGGCAAGGACGAGACAACCATTTGTTGGGATGCTTTAATCTTAATTTCTGTACTGGCTTAATGGCATAAATGGCTGTTTCCAACCATTGGTGTGGGTTTAAGAGCGGTACAAAAGTACTTTCATGGGAGTGTTCCTCATTGATAGCTTTCTAGAAAATATGTAAGACCAAAGAAAGCCAAGAGCTGATCTCAGTCATCCCAGGGGGCAGGAGACAGAATAATTAAATTAACTTGCAGGAAGCCAAGCATCAGATGAATCTGCTTTTATGTAACTTAAATCAACTGGATATCTTTAAGCAAAGGCTGGACTGCTGAGTACTGGGGATGCTTTAGTTTGGATTCCTATGTTGGATGCCTGCCTGCAAGGGACAGGATTTTAACAGCCCCTTCTGTTGTCATAATATTCTATGAAAATAGTCGTATTTTGAGATATGATCTTACCCACTCTGAGAAGGGCAAAAGATGGGGAATTGCAACAACAGAAAGGAAGGCTGGTTCCTGGTGATTCCCTGCAACCGAAAGGGTTAGCCCTGAGATTCAGCGGCAGGTTTAAGACTAGAGTGATCATCCCTGGGCCTGGGATTATCAACTGATCACTTATTTTCTCTGTCTGGACCATTCGACCCACTTGTATAGTCTCTCTCTTAATCATGTAGAGGAAGCAAGTGGCCATTCCTTAGAAAGGGGTAATTATGGCTTTTGGCTGCTCAAGACCTCTTTGAGTGTAGAGGATTAGCCTGGCTGAAGCCAGTCTCCACCAACACACCATTCAGAGGGAGAGCAAAAAGTAGGTAACACAAGGGGCCATTGCTTCTTTCATTCCCAACCCATCCTGCACTGCCCAGGAAGTTGATGAGTATTGCTTGCACTTTGTGGATTACAGCACTGGGGGCCCAATCCCCTTTTCTAAAATAACCATGCCTTGTGAACCAGAGATAGGAAGGAGGAACTGTAGGTGTCTCCTCTTGTTTGCACATTCCTGCCCATCTTCAGAAGCTTGAGAGCCA